CCCAAAATTTGGAAAGGAGACTAGACGAGAAGCGATTGCAGCATGGTCACCCCCTCTGGGGGGTGATTTCTTGCTTTGTGTCTCTCTGTCTGTCTCTGTCTGGTGAGCGCACGTACCCTATAGCAAAAACCTCACCCCCCCAAAAAAAAATATATGTGTGTGTGTGTGTGTGTGTGTGTATGTGTATATATATATATATATATAGTGACCAGCAGGTGGCATGGTGGTTAAGACATTGGACACTCCCACATGGCCAACCACAGTTCGAGTCCTGGACCTGGTGGCTTGCTTTTTCACTTTCCCTCTCCTTCTGTGTCTCTCTCTGGTCAAATTAAAATAAATAAATGAATAAATAAAATGAAATAATTCATTTAATAATTACCAGATAAAGACTTGATTCTTTTATCAATTGTTTCTCCCCAAATCACATGTAGCCAAAGTCCCTGCTGATTCCAATGATACCTGTTTCCTGAATGTTCCACCAGGATGGGGTTGCTACGCCCTCCCTCTTCCAGGATACCCCCTGTCACCTCCTCCTTCAGACTTTAAGCGCCACCATGACTTATGAAGAGTGAAGCAGGCACGGTTTTGTGTTTGTTTGCTTTTAAACATCATATTCTTCTTGTTTTTAGATGTCATCAGGGAACAAGGAACGTGAAAAAAACTTGAGGCGGTGTGCCGAACTCCCTTTATTCAGATTGGCATAGCTGTAGGGAGCACCATGGGATTTTTTCTCTGGCTCAGCTTTTCCTCTAAGGCTGGGAGGACTGGGAGGGGCTACGGCAGCATGAGAGCCCCCTTAAGCAGAATGTCTTAACCTTTCAAGAGGGCAGGGGAGTGGTAATGCAGGAACCTATTTTACCCTTTGTTTTTCCTTTTTCTCTCTCTTTCAGCGCCACATGGCGCTGCACAAGAGAGAGAGAGAGAGAGAGAGAGAGAGAGAGAGCGACAAAGAGGACCCCTCCCTTCAAACATGGCCATGCCACAGTCCCTTCTCCTCCACCTCTCCCCTTTTGGGACCTGGAGCTTACATCCATGCACATGTAGCATGTTCCTCAAGCTGCCAGGGCCAGGATGCAAACTGCAGTCAGCCATGTGGGATGTGGCTCCCTCAGCAACTAGGCTATGGGGCCAGGCCAGGTTTTGCTTTTTCTGTCTCTTGCCACTGCCAGGTATGTCCAAAGAGATGGGGAGTTTTACTTGTCTTGTTCACTGCTGTTCCTCCAGTGCCTAGACAAGAAGCTGCACCTAATGGGCATTTGCTTCATTTGCTGTTGTTGGGCAGTAGCAGATTTGGGAGCAGACTTGCCATCTTCCTGGGTACTCTCTGGGTAAGTCACTCTGCCTAGTTAAAACTCACTTCCTCCGGGGACCAGCAGATGGTGTAATGGCTATATTGCTGGATTCCCACGTAGTCGCCTGTGGTTCAAGTCCCGGTTGCTTAAACTCAGGCCGGGTGTGTGTGCGTGCGTGCCCAAGATCCCAAGAAGAGAATGGAGGAGAAAGGATTGTGGTGTGGCCATCCCCCCTGGGGGGGTGATTTCTTGCTTTCTATCTCTCTGTCTTTCTGGCGAGTGCACACGACCTACAGCAAAAACCTCTCCAAAAAAAGTAAAATAAAATAAAATAAACTCCTAAAAAAAATACTCAGTTCCTCCCACCTTTACCTGGGAGAATAATCAGCCTGATCTCACACCACCCTAAGAAAGCGATAGAGGAATGAGATCATAGATAGACATGGAGCTTGGAAGTCTCAGATGAAAGCTACCCGGTGTCCATATAGGACACTCAAGTGATGAAAGAGTCAGGTGGTTTTTTTTTTTTTAAGTTTTTAGAAAAAAGTTTACGGGGCCAGCAGTTAGCATAATGGCTATGTCGCTGAACTCCCATGTAGTCGACCACAGTTCGAGTCCCGGACCCAGTGGTTCAAACTCATGCCGGGCGCGTGTGCGTGCAAGCCCAAGATCCCAACAGGAGAATGGAGAAGGGATTGTGGCATGGCCATCCCTCCTGGGGGGTGATTTCTCACTTTCTGCCTCTCTCTTTCTGGCGAGTGTACACACCCTGTAGCAAAAACCTCTTAAAAAAAAAATAAAAAAGTTTACTTACTTATTTCTTCTACAAGAAAGACAAGATAAGGAGCCAGGCACCCCACCCCCAGCAGGGTCCCCGTGTTGTACTCTATCCCCAGCCTCAGCCGGCCTGGATCCTGGGCATGTGCATGTGCCTGGCATGGACAGGGAGGTCTTGGGACATGAACCTGGGACCATCCCATGTGCGCACAGCACTGCAGTGCTGCATTACAACCATTACTAGCTGGCCTGAGAGCATATTCGGTCCAAATGCACTCGTTACTCGGCTCTGTAACATAAGCTCCACGTGCTCCTTCATCTTTCCTTGCCAGGGAACCCCAATCCCCACAAGAATGAAAAACCCCAAGGCAGCTTCATTAACCATAACCATTAGCTAGATGACACCCACTAGCAATAACTACAAG